GAAATAGTTAAGAATGGGCATAAGAATGCAAATGTAACAGACAGCAGGAAACAGCTGCTATCATAAAAAAGTATATTCTATCTTGTATATTCTTGATCTGATCTCACCATGGTCAGCTTGTTATTTGTATACGTTGAAGTTTACATTTCTATGATACATATGAGGACAGTGTATAGATCTTAACAGCGACCATTTCTTCTTGGTTTATGGAAATCAATTAAACATAAACCTTTGCTTTATTTGCGGTTTTCTAGCAGTTATTTTTATCAGAATTACCTGTCATATATTATTTATGCGACTGTACCGCAAACCCCGCAATTTGTTGGCCAGCAAGCGGACAATTGCGATGCTGGAGAGGCCAACATCGATATCGACACCGTTGTTGGGCTGGTCATGATTTATAAATAATTAAATATTTATTTTCGCACGTCCTAATGACGTTGGCAGTGATGTCAGCGTTTGGCATTTGCCCACCTCATATGCTCATTAATATTAATAAGACGCCATCAGCCGAGCAGCACATGGCAACTGGCCCAATCTCTCTCGCCCCCTCTCTCTGTCACCGTTTCTGTCTGCTCTGTGCTGGACTAATCTCAACAGGTGTTTGTGTTTATGTTTTGCCGCGACACACGTGTTGTCCTTGTGGTAATCAAGTCAAGTACCTGAGAGCCCGGGCACGAAAAGTTTCGCTTTGTCCTGGAGCACTCGTTCTACATTGGTAGGGTGTCGTTTATCGTTGTCGTTTTCGTTTAGGCTAGAATCCAATTTCCATTATCCAATTTTGATGCTGTCAGGCCCGCATAAATAAAATTCGCTGCGAGTACAATATTCGAGGACCGATTCCCAGTGCTTTGTTATGCAAATCTCGGCAAAAAGTATCAATCTCCTACTTAGGACTTAGTCAAGACAAAGTCCATTTACTGCAGCAGCCCCTTGGCTAAGGCTTCGCCCTATGCCCGGACCATGGCCCAACACATGTTTTATAGCCTTATGAGTTCCCAGTTGCCGTCGTTTTATAGCCGAAAACATTATAACTCATATTTTTCCAAGAATTTTTGCTGCTCTTTGAGTGAGTCCCCAAAGCAAATATAAAAACGAGGAAAAATAACAATAGAGAATTGTCTCTGTTCACTTTAAAAATATTTTTAACTGTTCGCGCAGCTGCGGCATCAAAATAACGTCATTTTTATACAAATTTCAGAATGGCATAATTGCCCGGTCCCAGGATTCAAGCATGATATTTCAAAAGAAATTAAATGTATAATTTTTAGGAAAAAAGTACAAAAACAGGAAGTTGGGCAGAAAAATTCTGTCATACCTCACTACTCCATCCTACTCTACGAATTCATTCGTAAAAGCCTACACAATTGCTCCTTGTTTACTTTGTATGCCGCCATTGCTCCTGGTTGACAGTTCCAGGACCCCGCCCGACCACTTAGTGTTATCACAGGTGTACGACGTCGGCGACGTTGCCGAAGAAAAAACAGCACAACAAATAAATAACGAAATCACTTGTGTATAATTTTGAACAAAGAGAGGCGCGCACAAAAGCGAAAGTGATTTAAAATATATGGACTATAAAATATACTCTCCATATAACAAAATACCCTATGCGCCAAAATGGGCACGAAACAGTTAGAAACTCCGGCATGAAAAAGTCAATATCTATCATATAGGGTTTATAGTTGAGTCTTAGCATATGTACGAATATATATCTGGTATCTCTATTCTCCGTATCACAGAGATATTACCAAATATTATGTTAAACACTAGAAATACAAGAACCTCAATAAATCCTAAGTTCTTAAAAATTCAATGCATATCCTACAATTTTTCCGATTAACCATGTCTAAAATGTCGATCGAAGCATGCTCGAAATAAGACAAGAGTATATTTGCTTTGGTTACTGTAAATAAATGAAATAAAAAACAAATACGAACGTTGCGGAGCAACCGATTGCGCAATACTCTGTAAACAGTTTATTACCAGCTTAAATAAGCCAAAAAGAATATCTTACTGTTTATGAAATTATGTAATAAATACAACATATCAGTCATATGCACCTTGTTACATATGTTTACAGCCTTTTATTATGCCTTTATCAATTCACTTTATGGATACAGGGTATTGAAATATTTTCGATGATAACAAATTTTTGTACACCATTTACATTTTTACTTTTTTTGGGCGCGTGTCTCTTGTGTGTGTTTTTCAAAGGTGAGCGCACTTCTCTCTTTTTATCTATATAATTTGATTTTTGCCGCTGGCAACCACAAACAACAACACTGCACGTTTATCGATTCTATATTTTGTGTGCAGAGTGCGGTGTTGTGGGTTGCTTAACGCCTACCAAAACTCGCTTTAAGTTATCTATATGAATATCCATTAAAGATGATGAGCCACGCGCGCTTTCAGCAGCGCTTAATGTTAGCGTCAACGACGTGCCACGCCCACAATACTACTCAGGCACGCCTCCGCCCAGCATTTAAGCAATAAATTAATTTGGCCCACGAAGCAACTGAAATCAGTGTCTAGACGAAGGCCTTGGCCAGACCAACTCGAAAGCCGCAAAAGGCGCGTGTTGAATTTAAAGAGCCCACAAGTGCGCTTCAAGGCACTTGCCGAGTTCAAGTCCATGTCCTGGCCCTGCCACTACAACTGGCACTGGTCATAGTCGTCCTACCCGACAGTTTAGCAGGCTTCAGCTGCAAGCCATGCCAAGCTGGAGCCATGTCCATTAATTTTTTTTTTCTTTTTCGATTTTGATGTTCATTTTCATTTGTCTGTTGTACTTTTGGTCTTTAACGTTGCCTCGAATGGTTTATGTTACTCGCACATTACTCAAATGCCACAATGTGGCATACAAGATGAGTAAATTAAAACAAGCTAAACATTTTTCAAGCAAACAATTCACAGTCATGACGAAATTGTTTATAAACAACAGCTACACTTCATATACATTTTCGGAACATTTAATCACTTTATTATTTAGTATATGCATAAATAGCTGTTTAAAAATGTTTACCTGAGTTATATGTTGTTTAAATACGCATTTTTGCTAAGTATAATACGCATGCATTTCAGTGTATTATCCTAATAAAGATAATTAACTATTACATGAGGCAGTTAAAAAAAACTTCAAAGCAAAGCCCATAATATTACTATGCGATTCGCTGAGGTGCCAATTAATTCATTTGAAATACATAAATTAAACAAATCCCTGTGGCATTACGAGTCTAAATGCTTAATGCATTGCGAACGTGTGAGTGACTTTTCCAACATTTATCAATTAAATTAGTTTACATAAGCTGCTTAGGGGCATCAGTACTCCAAACTATTATCCAAAACAAAATTTTAATTAAACAGAGTGTGATGACATGTGTATATAGAATCAAATCACGATTCACAATACAAGATCCCAACAATTGAAGCCATGATGATTGGATTGGACTAAAATCAAAATATAAATTTTTCAACTAAGTTTTGAGTTCACCCCAAGATGACAGAAGAGAAAGTTAAAAACAACATTTGACATATTTTTGTATCACATTTTGTTTTTGCTCTTATGTTTAAAAGTGTATGACTTTTGAACTGTTTTGTAGCTTTCACTTGCTCTTGATTACGATGTTGTACCTATTAAAAATGTACGCAAAAAAAGATTTTCTATAATAATTTTAATACAACAATATTTGAGAAAAAAATGTGAAGATAACACAACCACATAAGGTACATGGCCAAGTGCAATATGCAATCATTATGCTTCAATTACACGCAACCGGCTGTCAGGCGTTTATGGCCTTTGTGGTGTTTGGCAACATGTCTAACAATGGATTGCTACCCAGTTTTGTGGCGTGCAGCTGCTTTGGACAGGCCTTTTGGGATGATCATTACCCGGGTCTGATTACCTGTCGACAAATCATGTTGTTGAGGCTGGTAAAAGCTTGCTGAAAACGCAATCATGTGCGTAGGTATGTAGTCGATTTGGCACACTACCCTGATATGACGGCACAGCTAGTGATTAGAGAGCTAATTGGGAGCTGAGCTGAGAGATAATTTCTGTTTCGGAGATCTGGGAAAATGTCATTAATTGCAGCTGTAGACCAGGTTATGGAAAAGGGCATCAACTCATATATTTCAGTCAGCTCATGTTGTTCAGCTAACGTGGATAACAACAATTAGTTCATTAGAGCTAACCATCGTGTTGGGCTGCGGGAGGTAGACTATTCCCCAATATTTGTTGCCTTGACCTACAAATCTGTGTGGCATTCGGCCATGGCTTGTGGCAAACTAATTCTTGGCCCAAACAAAAACTTAGTCGCCTATTGGCCTTCTGCTTGGGAAGTTTCGGTTAGATGATGCTATACTGATTCACGCAAAGCTTAGAGACTTTTATGAAGGATCTAAATTCTGTTAAGTTATAACTCAATTAACTTTATGTGTTTATATAAAAGAAACTGCAGCGAAAATGATGAAAGAAATCTAAAAGTAATTTTTACAAACAATTTCAAAATTTAAGTGTTAGACTGATTGAAGGGATTATAAGAACTGACCAAGGGTCGCAAGAGAAATTGCCTCTCCGCCCAAATAACCTGAATAGTGACATATATTATACATATATGCTGATATGCTGTATGGTTAGTGCTTTCATTGAGTAACATTTTATGTGGGCTATCAATCCAAGCCAATTAGTTGTGTAACATGAGTATAATGCATCATGAAAATAATAATACGCTTTGCATTCTTCTCTCATTTTAGTTTTAAATCTGAAATTATGTGACGGCAGCTATGTGGTTTGCATCTGCACTTTAAGCCCACGCATCAAGTATGGAAAACATATGAAAATATTTGAATTTTAGCAGCAGGCATCATCTAATGAGCGTTGCCCGGGATTGAAAATTAGCCAAGCGAACATAACGATATCAACAGCAACACGAACAGGAGCAGCAGCAGCAACAGCAGCAGCAGGATTAGCATCGGTAACAGTGGGAGGAACAACAAGCCGCACAACAAACATGAAAGGCTACTCGAAACCAAATGGTGCCGCTAACCGCAGCTGCCACATGGACCATGTCCATGGTGGATGTGGCGTCCTGTTATTTCTGCTGACAGCGCTGACACTAACGAGCTTAATAACGCCCACAGAGCAGTTGACAGCGACGTCGACGTCGGTGGCGACATTGGCAAATGGAACAGCAACAGCCCAGCCTATGCCCACTTACACCAAATCCAGCGACGCCGACGGCGACATAGACGTTGACGTCAACAGCGCCGGCTTTAGTCCCGTATTGGAACTCTCGGACTATTACAAGCACATGAATGCGAATCTGGTAAATGGTGGCAGCGGCAGCGGCTTCATATTTCCGTCTGGCTTCAATGGAACACTGCCGATTGGCTTTGGCGGCGACCCGCCCAATGGCAGCGGCGCCTACAATCCAATGCAGGGCTGCCGCCGAGACGGCAGCTTTGGTCTGAAGCTCATCACGATGATACTCTATGCGCTTGTCTGCATTGTTGGTCTCTTTGGCAATACGCTAGTCATCTATGTGGTGTTGCGCTTCTCCAAGATGCAGACGGTCACCAATATCTATATACTCAATCTGGCCATAGCGGATGAGTGCTTTCTGATTGGCATTCCATTTTTACTCTACACAATGCAGGTGGGTAACTGGCCATTTGGCAACTACATGTGCAAGGCCTACTTGGTGAGCACCTCGGTGACGCAGTTCACCTCCTCTATATTTTTGCTCATCATGTCGGCGGATCGTTATATAGCCGTATGTCATCCGATATCATCGCCCCGCTACCGTACCCCGTTTGTCTCTAAAGTGGTCTCGGCCGTGGCCTGGACGACATCGGTGTTGTTAATGCTGCCGGTCATTTTATTTGCCAGCACATTCGAGTCTGGTCCAGGTCACGTCTCCTGTAGCATTAATTGGCCCGAAGCATTTAATATACAATCAGACTCTGCGTTTATTCTGTACTCTTTGGTACTGGGCTTTGCGACGCCGCTGATTTTCATCATGATCTTTTACTGCCTGGTCATACGTAAGCTGCACACGGTGGGCCCCAAGCACAAGAGTAAGGAGAAGAAACGCTCACACCGCAAGGTTACCAAACTGGTGCTGACCGTGATTACTGTATACATTATGTGCTGGCTGCCCCATTGGATATCACAGGTGGCATTGATTAACTCAACGCCCGGCTGTGCCTCCAGGCTGGAGCTGGCAGTTTTTCTGGCCTGCGGCTGCCTTAGCTACTCAAACTCGGCGATGAATCCCATACTCTATGCCTTCCTTAGCGACAACTTCAAGAAGAGCTTTATGAAGGCCTGCACTTGTGCGGCACGAAAGGATGTGAATGCCCAGCTGCAGCTGGAAAACAGTTTCTTTCCCAAGTTTGGCAAGGGGCGACAATCGGAGCGCTTGATTGGCCCCAACGCCACTGCAAATAACAGCAAGGCCAAGAAGAGGGCTCAGGCTAATGCCCGGAACAATAATGCGCAAATGACCACAACTACAACGACAACCACGGCTGGCACAGACGTCGTTACCTCCATACAGCCTGTGGCAATAACTCATACGGCACCCGAGGTTACACCAACCGCTGGCGCCGCCCTGCTCGTTGTCAACGCCGAGACCAACTGTAAGCCACCGGTGCTCCATACGGATTTATAAGAGCGGGCTCCCGGTATGCCGCTCGAGACGGTTGTATTTATAGCGCGCAGATGAGTGCGTGTAGAAGTGTGTCCAGGGGAGTTGCAGTTGAATGCAGAGCTAATTAGTAGACCAGAATGTTTACTATAAGGAGACCATTGATATTTTTTACAATATGTAAATTCTGCTTTATATTATCCTCCACATTCACACACTCCGGCAGGTTTAGTTCAGAAAGTTAAATCTTTTACGAAAGATTTTCAGATTTTAACTTTAAGTAATATGGAGCGCAGTGTGTTTAAAGCATTAAGCCAAAGATATATTCAGAGAAAGACCTTGATGATAGTTTGAAAGTTGTGAGCAACTCACAAGTCTAAAGAATGTAACCAAAAAAAAAAAAAAAAAAAATGTAAAAATAACAAATCGAAATAAAATTTAAGGGGAATTATTCAATAAACAATTCCACTGGAAATAAAACGAAAAAAACAAGTATTTGAACAAATCTTCACATTACCGAATGAAATTCCCAATGTGATGATGATATAAGAAAGGAAGACGATTAACAAGATATTGCATACAAAATAAATAAAAATATGCGTTGAAAATTAATTGATTAATAAAGTTTATAGTATGTAGACATTCAATTATCAAACATAATGAATATTAATTCAAATTCAATTTATAATGATATAAAAATTTTTAAAACTGAAATTGATGTTAAAATTAATGTTTCAATTCGCTGTATACCCCTTAATAATTATATCAAAGCAGCAGTTAAAATATCCCTTTGGATGAGCTATTAAATTACAATGAAAAACTAAAAACGCGTTACTGCTAAGCAAACGAAATTAAGAAATTGAAATAATAATATTTTTAGTGTTGCCATTTAAAAATTTACATGTATTGTACTATTTGTATTTTTGAATGTAACATAAGCTTATTAACATTCTCATAGATGTAATTATTTAAAATGAAATTCTTAACGTTAGTCAAGAAGAAAAACTACAGGAATTATGCATGAATTAAAAAAGAATTACATATTAAGTGTCATTTGAGCTGCAGCAACATTTTTTTTGGCTTCATACTGTGAAATAAAGTGGATTTTAAGTTCATATGAAAATAAATAAAATATAAAACACAAATCGAGTTTGTTGGGAAAAACTTTAAATGTTTACACAATTTGTATTTTATGCCCATATTCCTATGAATACTTTGCTGATTTTATATCAACTTTATATTTTATATTTACTTTTTATTTTGTTTATATTTTCCCAAACGTTCTTAAAGTAGATTTATAAGTAAAAGGTTTTGGGCATTTCGGACACTTAATAGGAAGTTCGCCTGTATGAATAAGATTGTTCCTCTTGTTTTAAGATAAAATTTCTTTTCAAGTATATTTTGATCAGCATGTTTACTAGAATGGACAATTCTTCCTTTTTTATGATATGAATAAAGATTACATATGTCAGTAAGTCCCATTTGAACCATATGTTGAGCTTGGAACCCTTAAATATTTCCCCCGGTGCTTCAGTGGCATCACTATCTATTAGGTATTTTTTATATAACCTGCGACTTACCTTACTTATGAGGAGAATCAGGTTAGGTAAAAAGGTACTCAAACTTTAACTAACTAATCTCAGTTGTTTAAAAATCAAATATTTGAGAGATATACTAATTTTTGCATGCCATTAAACATTTTTGATTAAAATATCAAAGATTGCTAACTTGCTTTCTTATATTTTTCATATGAATTAAAGAGTACAATTAACATTTAAACGGCCCCTTCTAACATTAAAGCACTAGAAATTCAAAGCTAAGCCAGTTTAAATGCTACAAGTGCAATATACAATTAATACTCCCTTCTAGAGCTCCTAATAATTTGACTCTATCTGGCCCACACCCAACCGGCTGTCAGGCGTTTACGACCTTTGTTTGGCAACATGCCTAACAATTGATTGCTACTCAGTTTTGTGGCCTGCAGTTGCCTTGGACAGGCCAAGTCATGTTGGGTCATGTTAAACCATGCTGCAATCATGTGGCAGGTATGTAGTTCATTTGACACGAGACTGTGATGTGAGGGCACAGCTAGCGATTAAAGAGCTAATTGGCTGAGTTGGGAGAGAATTTCTGTTTCGGGGATCTGGGAAAACATCATTAATCGCAGCTGAAGACCATGTTTTGGAGAAAGGCATAAACTCATATATTTCAGCATACTCATTTTGTTTATCTAACGTGGATAAAAACAATTAATTCATTAGAGCTAACCAGTTTGTTGGGCTGCCGGGGGGTAGACTATTCCCCAACATTGTGGCAAACTAATTTTTTGCCCAAACCAAAACTTGCTTGGCCTTCTGTCTGCGGAGTTTTGTTTAGATGATGCTACACTGAACTACGCAAGCCGTCGAGACGTGTATGTGAAACATCAAGGCAAGATTTTTTTGCGACGCGTCATGAATATTCAAAAATTAAAAAGATTAGATTTAATAAGAGATGACTATGTTTTATGGTAAAGTCATTGGAGCCATTGGGACAATTGAATCTAGCTCACCGGTATGAACAATTTGTTGCCTTTTAAAAGCATATGTATGGGAAAAATGTTGCCAGAATTTCGGACAGGTAAAAGGACGTTCGTTAATGTAAGAACAAAAATGCAGTTTACTTGTCGACTTTCTAGTATGCTCTCTCCATCTATTTAATAAAAGAGCTAAATCGTGGCAGTTGTTTGTGATTTTGTAATACGTTGTAAAATTAAAAGATGTAAAGGATAGGGGCAATGGAGTAGACGCTCGCGGTAACATCGTGTCGGGAATAGTAAAGACTACTATATTTTAGATGTTCATGGAAAATACATTTATACATTTTTATTTCATTTGTAGTTCAATAATTATTTTACATATATAAATAAATATTTTTATGGGATTATTTCTACTCTAATTTTTTTTTGGCTGCTCAAATGGTTGACTATGTTATATCTCACAGTACAGTCCTTTGGGCAGTGGGAACACTTGAACAAATGGTCGCCAGTATCAACAACTTGGTGGTTCTTGAGTACATATGGGTAAAAGATTTCGGGCATATCTGACATTAAAAATGACGTTCGCCGGTAAGACCTTGCTTTACTAAATTTTCTTTTTTACCGAATGCATAGCCATAAATTGTACACTTAAATATCTTCGTTAAGTTCATTTTGGCTTCACTTAAATTTTGACTTTTTTATATGCTTCGGATTCGTTGTTAGAAACGTGTCGTTTCTGATGCTGACTTAGACCTTGTTTTGTACTAAAGTCCTTAGGGCAGTGGGGACACTTGAACATACGCTTGCCGATATGAACAGCTTCGTGTGTTTTAAGATTTGATGCCTGGACAAAAGATTTCGGGCATTTCGGACACTTAAAAGGACGTTCACCAGTGTGAATACGAGTGTGCCTTATCAAATGATCATTTCTTTTGAATGTCTTACCACAAGTCTTACACTTTGCCTCCTTTTGTTTCTTTTCAATCACTTGCTGCTGCATACGCTTGCTGCTGTGAACAGTTTGGTGTGTTTTAAGAGTAGATGCCAGGGTAAAAGATTTAGGGCATTTCGGACACTTAAAAGGACGTTCGCGGGTATGAATAAGATTGTGTCTTGTTAAGTAAGCATTTCCTATAAAAGTCTTTCCGCAAATATTACACTGAACTAATTTCCTTGATATCGATTTGTTTTTAATTATATTTTGATCTGCGTTCTTACTTATATTATCGTTTAGATATTTTCTACGGTTGCGGGTATGAACAATTTGATGTCTTTTAAGATCACTTGCCTGGATAAAACATTTCGGGCATTTCGGACACTTAAAAGGACGCTCACCAGTGTGAATACGATTGTGTCTTATTAAGCTCGTATTTGTGCTAAATACTCTTCCGCAAGTCTTACATTTAAATAGTTTTTTCGAGTTTTGATTCTTTTCAGTTATACTTTGACGTTCTTGTATACTCTCTACTGGTACCTCCAGCTCAGACCTTTCGTCTACATCTTGTTTAATCATAACCTTGACGAGCTCCCAATCTTCTTCTGCTAGCATATCGATAAAGTCTTCTGTTTCCATTAGACTCATACTAAGTAGCTTATGGCTATCTCCGGCATTGCGCTTTAATCTATAGGCTGTTTTCACATCTGAAATACAGGAACTGCATATCTTCTTTGTAAGTTTATCGTCAGGTTTTACTGGGTACGTGACACATTCATTTAAGACCTCCGCTAAGGTGAGTTCGCACTCAGACATATTTCCATCCGCGAATATATTCACCAGGTCCACTGTGCCCATGCAAACGCGACAAACGTTATTCATGTCTTACTTTGTGGTCTTCACATTCAAGACAGCTGCAAGGGCGGTTGGCTATAGCCAATTTGTGATTTGTCCGTCAAAGTCCAGGTATTTTCAAGGTACAGTTTACCGTCGCCAGTGTGGTATGACAACGCTTACTTATGGAGGGACTATATAAAAGGGTCGCATAACCTGATCGTAACTTATGTTTGTTGATTACAATTATATATATATATATATATATTTTACTACGAATTCACTACAGGACAGTTCTTCTTCGGCCTAACCAGTGGTTTTCGTTGAGAGTTTTTGACATTGACTGTTATACACGTTGATTTTTTCTTCTTTTCTTGACAGCGCGATTTAGCTGAACGTGACTCGCTTCAATCCTCGAAGACAATTAGAATCGCCCACGTATTTGCTCGGCTTGAAAAGGCAAATAACGAGAAGAACATTTTCACTGATATACAAAGCCAAGTGCGAATTACAGCACGAAAAAAATTAGCACATATTCCCTGGAATGATGAAACAAAAGAAAACTTTTTTATTAATGATGAGAAAACGAACGTTAAACGCATTAAAGGCAAAGAACTGAATTTTAGTAAGTTTGGAAATGGTCGAAGAAGCACAGAAATATGTTACATGTATTCAAAATACGTGTATATTATCAGCGGGCATTATCAATTGAGAATAGAAAGTTACGATCAGGAGGCGGAGGAGAAGCAGAGCTATGGGCGGAAGCAGTCTGAGAATATCAATCAAAGTAACCTTCGATTGTTCCTCTCCCTGCTACGTGATATGGTAGTTTAATGTCGATAAGGTTTTCAAATATATAAGGAACGTCGTTCCAATAGCTCACTTTTTGAAGCTGGTACAAATGAAACCACATTCATGTGGCAGATGTGTAGTTGATTTTACAAGACCGAGATGTGATGGCACAGCTAGTGATTAGGAAACTAATTGGGAGCCGAACTGAGACTGAATTTCTGTGTCGGGAATCAGGAATAATGTCATTAATCGCAGCTATAGGTTATAGTTATGGAAAAAGGCATCAAATCATATATTCCTGCAACTCATGTCGTTTATGTAACGGGGATAACAACAAGCAAATCATGAGAGCTAACCAGCTTTTAGAGCTGCGGATGGTAGACTATTCCCCCAATATTATCTGTCTTGACCTACAAGACGTCGTCATATTTGACTGTGGCAAACAAATTTTTGATCGGTTATTGGCCGCCTGCCCAGAGTTTTGATTAGATATTGAATTAGTATTAGTTAGTTAAGTTTAAGTAAGAAAATTATCTATTGACAATGACAAGTTTACTCATGTACAGCAAGTTTTTATTTATTTATTTGCTCAACAATCGATAATTATTACTTTTTGATTTTATTTTGTACTACTTTATTCCTATTGCGTAATTTCCTTTTGGCTTCTTTTTTTGAAGCGTGATGTCTCAGATGGCTGACTAGGTTATGGTTTCTAGTAAAGTCTTTCGGGCAGTGGGGACACTTGTACCTACGCTCGCCGGTGTGAACAATTTGGTGTGTCTTAAGAGATGATGCCTGGGTAAAAGCTTTTGAGCATTTGGAACACTTAAAAGGACGCTCGCCGGTATGAGAACGAATATGTCTTGACAAATGATCATTACCTTTGAATGTCTTACTGCAAACCTTACATTTGTACTGCTTTCGAATTGGTGTTTTAATTAAATGTTGAACATCGTGCTTAATAAGATGTTTGTTAAGATGATAATTTCTAGAAAAGTCCTTTGGGCAGTGGGGGCACTTGTACATACGCTCGCCGGTGTGAACAATTTGGTGTGTTTTAAGAGAAGACGCCTGGACGAAAGTTTTTGGACACTTTAGACACTTAAAAGGTCGTTCGCCGGTATGAATACGATTATGTATTATCAAATGGGCATTTTTATTGAACGCCTTTCCGCAAGTCTTGCACTTAAATGTCTTCTTCGAGTTATTACTCTTTTTAGGTTTATTTTGACGGTCTTGTACGCTGTCTACATTGTTCTCCAGATCAGAGGTATCATCTAGCTCTTTCTTAATGGAATGGTTCACGAGCTCCCAATCTTCTGCTGCTAGCGTATCGATAAATTCTTCCAAATCTGACTGTAGACTCATATTAAGCCGCTTATAGTTATTTTCGGCATTGCGCTTTAATCTAAAAGCTATTTTCACATCTGAAATACAGGACCAGCATATCTTTTTTGTCAGTTCATCCTCAGGTTTCACTTGGTACTTGACGCATTTATTTAACATCTCTGCCAGGCTGACTTCACAATCAGACAACTTCCCATCCGCAAATATATCCACCAGGTCCACTGTGCTCATGCAAACGCGACAAACGCTATCCATGTCTTACTTTGTGGTCTTCACATTCAAGACTACTGCAAGGGTGGTTGACAACCACCAATTTATGCATTGTTCCTCAAGGCCCAGGTATTTCCAAGGTACCAGTACCTGCGCCAGTGTGGTACAGCAACTCTTACTTATTGAAGTTGGGTAGGTACTTATTGGGGTTAGGTAGAAGGGTCGTATAAGCTGTATGTAACCGATCTCAGTTACCTAAAATTCAAATATTCTACTGGTCTGTACATTAGCCTGCTTATTATTATTAATAATTGGAATGTCTTGCGAACATATTCAACGCATTGAAGGAGATAAATTCATAAGGTTCATTTTGCCAATAATCTTAATTATCACATAATTGACGCCGTTTATTTGGCTGTGCGAGCTAAGGAAGTCTTAATTTTGTTCTTCAGTAAATAAAATTGTGAGTTTAAGAAACTGCACTTAAAAAGCACCGCATTAGTTTACAAACCAGAACAAGAACAACAATATACATAGAGATACAAAATGTATGCGTAGAAGTCAAGCTGCAGCTGATTGCCAGCAGAATTCTCTACAATTGTCATACAAATTTATTGTATGTCAAGCGCATTCGTATTATGATAGCGTATTTTATATTTAATTATAGTATTCAAATAATCGTTTATCACCTTCGTAGCTATCTAATGCTTATCTTTCATGATGCCCACAACAGCAGTAATTCGCTCCCTCTGAATCTCTCTTTCTCTATGTGTCCCTCCGCTCGCCTGCTTTTGACTTGCAACTGTATCTTCGACCGTGCGTACCAGATGTAGATATAGATGGAGACACAGACAACTTGCAGTTGAAAGTGTGACAATAAACACATAAAAACAAGAACGCACGGCTAAATTCGGCAAGCTGATTTTTGAATACTCTTGATTTTACATTTGAATAATTGTTACTTAGTTTTTTTTTTTTGTAGCTAAATAACAATGAAGATTCGCAGTAAGAATCGTACGACGTAAATTTATTAAAAAAAATTATCAGGAAGTTCTTCATGAAAACCCTAAGCTATTCATCTTTATTTCTATGGAATCTATTATATATTGTGACGATGGCCTTAAAACTCTGAGACTGATTTGTATTAAAGCCGATAGACCAACATAATTATTTTGATCTGACTATTGATACTGATTAAAAAAATAAAGCTTAATAATGTCAAATATACCTTCTAAGCGTTACACAATACACGACGAAGGTTGTATACCCTCTGCAAAAGTTTAAAGGAAGCAAAAGTGTGAGCGACAAAAACAAAACAATAAACTACAAAGAGCAAAAAGAGCAGAAAATTGTCAACAAGAGGAACAATTTTCATGCTTGATGTAAATGTCAATTTGAAAATTCACAAGATGCTAACAACCAAACAGGGCAGGGTGCTTGGCTTGTCGAAAGATAATTCCCAACACTTTCCTTCACGTCGAACATAAGAATGCTGTGGTAAAAATTGCTCGACTAGGTGATGCTCTGTACACAGAATACCTGTACAACAGTTCGGACTGACCGAGCTGATCGATTAAATTGTAAGGGAAACTTGGTACCAGCAAAGCCGGGTAATACCTTTTATTGTTTGAATATATGAACTTATAATCGAAATGTTTTACAGCCTTTCTGATTTAAAATTTAGAACTAATATTAATATTTATTTGGTGAGTCTCTATTTTTTAAGGCTATTATGTTGAAAAGGCCTTTCTTGAACTGATTTATAGATTTCCACAAGTATATACACAATTTTGTCCCATTTATCTGTACAGCGTATAACGCATACGCGTACTTTTCTCGAGGAAAAAAACAGAGAAATGAAACGAAAAAAAAAAATTGCACAACATATTCTGCAAACTTAACTGAAACTTTGTTAGCAAATGACCGCTGGTTGCGCACTGAACAATGGAGCTGCATTGCGTGCAGCATGAGAACTTCCCAGAGAGTTTTACAGTTGAGCTACAAACAAGTGGAAAAAACGATGCTTTGAAATCCAAATGCACTTACGAAACCAATTCAATTGATATTTAAACAAGTTTTAACATTGTTAAAAACCTGGGGAGTCTAAACTAAAGACACACAAAGGTCGCATAAGGCAACAGCGACCTTAGAAGCTAATTAATAAATAAAAAAATATATTATTCTAAAATTTGATATTTAAAAAAAATGTATCACAATAATATGGCATATTCTTAACTGCCAGAAAACAAAATAAAATTTATAGATGCATATACAACTGATGGAGTTCGATGCAAACAAACTTATATTCCCTTAAGGCACCAGTCACGTCCCATGCTCGAGAAGAGTATTCAGCGTGGAGCATTTGCTGACCCTGGGCCACTCGTTTTCGTTCAATCTATGGCAATAGACTTCAATTTGTGGGTAATGGAGTGAGTGTGTAGTTTCGTGTGGGTATGTGGGTTAGCAGATCGCAAATGTTTGTGCTTGGCAAGTGTTGGAAAATGCGGCAACTGTGGCTAGAAGGCAAGGCATATCAACAATTGCACTGGCTGCTTGTCGTTCTCACGCGGCCTTTTGTTTTAGCACAGCACAATTGCAATGTACAGATTGCCTGGGCAAAATGTTTTTCATTTTTCCATCAACCAGTTAAGACACACATATACCGGGTGCGTTAGTATTTGTCTGCACATGCTCTCGCTCTAGTTCTGGCCATGGCTCTCGCTGAAGGTCAGGCACTCGCATATTGATTATTTGGAATTTTATTAGCAGGCGAGCCAAAGGCAAAGACGAGTAGAGCTAGGAATTATGATGCTCTGCCTGCATTCTTATGCACTTGACCATATGCTGCATCCTGGACAGACAGTGGAAAGGGATAACCAGCTGCTGGCAAGGATGCGAAAAGTGGTTGGCCAGCAGAGATGGTTTTTGCGCTTTCAGGATTTTAATGGGCTTGCCTCGGTGTCTGGTTTGTCAGGATGGTACACGGCACATGCAGCTGCAAATGCAAATCCCCCTGCGCCATACAGACCGAGGCCAAGTTGAAGTTTGAGGTCAAGCACAAGCACAGAAACCACTTAAAAGTCGCTACGTGCGCCAAGCAGCGACTCCCAAGACTGTTGAAACCGGATACAAGCGCCAACTTATTGCCATATTGATGCAGCAAACTCAGCTGTCAGTTAAATTATGAAAACAGCTCGAGGCGCTTTTATAAGTGTGCAGCACAGTGTAATTCGATTTATCGTCAAACTTTTCTTTCAGTCTTGCAGCTAATTAAATTCCTTTTAAGCTAATATTGCCTGGTCGTCCCCCACTCTATCGGCTATACATTTCCAATTTGAATTTCAAAACCAAATGGGTGCAAATGTGGGCCGCGTTCAGTCTGCGACTTCAAAGCGAGCCAGTAAATTCTATATATTTTGACCCAATTTATTGCGGCCAATACAAACTCATATCTATATATGTAGGGAAAAAATCAAACTAATGCTTCACACTTCATAAATCGGGCATTGAAAATGAACAGATTAAAGGCATGGCCAGCGAATTTCATTTGATTTTCAATTTTCTATTTTCAAACTAAAAATACAACAAAGTCGCTTTATAAATACATTAGCACCTCAATATGCCAGCAAATGGCTCGAGAATACACATACACATACACATACTCAATCTATGTGTGCTGGCTATCCAAACAAATTTGCGTGTGTGTGTGAAAGAGCGCACACATTGTTAATAAAATGATATAAAAGAGCAAATTAGGCAAATTGGCTTATGGGTAACGGCTAATGGCAAATACCGCGATCAGGTGGAATACTCGCGAGTACGAATTTTTCACAATTGAGCAATAAAAATAAACATTGAAATTTAATTTAAATACAAAATAAAATGGACAGCAAATTGCCAACGGGTCTCCGAGAGTCTCTCTGAATGAAGCAATTGCAATGCGCTTCATAGTTATTAAAGTGGGTGTTGACTAAAGGCGAAAAGTGGAAACGCAATCCGCATTTCAGTATTCTATTGATTTACAATGCAAATTTTACTTCCTATCTTAATTGAATCTAAGCCAATTAAACTTATAGAAAATAAAGTTTCGTTTTAAGAGAATATTAATGTTTGTAAGTAAGTATTCAATTACCAAGCAAAGATATGGAGTAGACGAATATAAGGTTCTTATCGGCTCTTACTCACCGGCCATAAAAAACGATTATCTTTATTTTAACAATATAAATATCAAGTTTCGCACAAACTAAAAAGTGTTTTTTAAAACAGATACAATTCAGATGAAGCGGTCCATTTATATGGGTCTCATAAGACCCGACTTTGAACTTGGCCGAATAAATTGCCGCACAGGAGCTTTATATATTACTATATTATTATGGTAGGTATATAATAATGAAGTGAAATTCCTTATCAAATTAAGCAAAAACAATCTTTTAAAACGATGTAACTTGGGTTAGTATGTATTCATGTGATAAGCTAACATTGATAAGTGGATAAGCTCTAAAAAAACATTAGGCAAACAATAACTGGGCTGTAAAATACAAAGTTAATTCACAGCTTCTGTTTAGTTCCATCTTAAAATTCATTCGCACAGCACGCTTTTCACATTCTAAGAGAAAATGCTGCGAAAAGATAAACATTTCGCATATATTCTGCTTTTGGAATATTTTACGATATGTGCAGCATTGAAAAATGAAGATAGCGAGGTGAGCGAGCATGTGTTAAAAGTTCTTTTATAGCATTTATGATTTCCATTTACAGTTGGACAATATCATCCAAAGTAAAAACATTCACATAGTCGATCTACAAGGGAATCTGGGATCTGTGGAAATAAACGCGACATATAAGGACATAAGAACAATAAATATTGCAGGCAAATCGAATGAAAGTCTTTTATCGGATTTCATCGGAACGAATCTGATGCAGTCTCCGGTAGCTCAAAAAGAAGATCTTACAGCCATCATAGGACAGTTACAGGCTCAAATAAATAATTTGAATGCCTCCGTGCTCTACTTAAAGAATTTGATCTCAATGAAATTTGAAGAAAAGAAAGCAACTAGTTGTTCTCTCCACAATATATTCGATAGTGATCAATTGATAAATGTGCCTGGAATCGCACCTTTTGTCGCTCTTTGTCATGCTCGCGGAGCGGAAGCAGGCTGGATTGTTATACAGCGCCGCTTCGATGGAAGTCTAAGCTTCTACAGAGACTGGACCGCATATCGCAATGGCTTTGGGTTCTATAATGGCGAGTTCTTTCTAGGCCTAGAATGCATTTACCGCCTGACTAAATCCCGGCCATATGAACTGTATATAGAGCTCGTTGACTTCAACAACCAAATGTACTACGCACGATACGATTCCTTTCTTATTGGCAGCGAGGAGGAGCAATATATGCTGAAGTCCCTGGGGGCATACAGTGGCAATGCTGGCGATTCATTAAAATATAATCTTTATGATAAATTCTCAACCTACGACAATGACAATGATAGATGGCCGAGAGGCAACTGTGCCAACTATTACGAAAGTGGCTGGTGGTACAATTGGGATGCAAATAGGTTGGGGATTCAAACGTATTTCGCCGATTGATCACTAATTTCTATTTCTTTCTTTAATATAGTAATCTCAACGGAAGATATTTTAAAAGCGGCGAGAAAAATGTAAAGGGCATTTGGTGGTACACATTGCGGGGCTACTACTCGTTGAAATCTGTGAAAATGTTAATCAGACCAAAGTATACACTAGTGTGACTAATGAAGCCAAAAACACACTTGGGAATTGCTACAAAGTAGGCACACTTGAAATAAATATAAATAAAAAATAAAATAATATAATAAATTGATATTGCCTTGTCAGCAACACAATAAAGCACACATTAAAAGTAATATAGTAAATGGGTTTCTGTTATTTCTATAAGCACGCCGATTGTTATCGCCTGAACTTAGAAGCCCTGACGACCTAAAAGCTTCAGTTATCTCTGCTTTTTCAATTATATATGCAAGCAGTGTATTTGATAAGTGCATTAGTACAGAGCGCGCAAATTTTTTGTTTTATAAACTTAAGTCGTTGCTTAGATTAAGTCAACATTTACTTTCAGACACACTACGAAGAGCAAGCGGCATAATGCGCATTAAGGAAGTGTATATTTTAAAGCTTCTCCTGCTTATGGCAGCAGTTACAGTGTGTGCCACATTGAACAGTGTTGAGGATAACGTGAGTAGAGTCATTTTAACAATACATGTGTATCCAATAATATTTGGTTTTTCTAGTCGATGGATTCAAACGATCAATGCAACTCGTTTTGCTTCAATACACTGAAGCCTCTGCTGGACAATGCAATGGAAACAAAAAAGAAAATCGAAAACTGTGAAGTCTCCATTCAAGATAAAGATGAGAAACTACAGAAACTCGAAAAACAGCTGGCAGCCAGTGAAATGAATGCATCAATTTTCAACCAAATTGAGAATATTTTCAACGAGAAAATCAAATATAAGGACAAGCTGATCGCAGCACTAGAAGAAAAGAGTGGCAGCGACAAAAATGAAATCGAGTCGATCAAACTCCAACTAGATGCTAACACTGAAGCTCTTAAGGTACTACAAAACCAATTAGCCAGTTTAAATAGTACTATTTCCCTTCACAACTACAACGCCAAACAGCAGCATGAAGAATTGGTCCAAGCAAAAGCCATGAACTGCGTACCATTTGAGAACTCAACGGCCGTTCATGACATAGATGTTGCCGGCTTTGGTAAGGTATCGGTTCTATGCGATGGTCAAACAGCCGGACCCGGTTGGACAGTTGTGCAGCGACGTTTTGATGGTAGCGTTGACTTCTACAGAAACTGGTTTGAGTATCGCGAGGGTTTTGGCAGTTTGACGGGAGAGTTCTTCTTGGGCCTGGAAATACTCTATCACATGACCAAGTCTCTGCCCTATGAGCTTTATATACAGCTGGTCGATTTTAATAATGTATCACGGCACGCCCGTTATGATAGCTTTCTAATTGGAAGCGAGGATGAGCAGTATATGCTGAAGTCCCTGGGCACATATACGGGAAATGCTGGCAATGCTCTTAGATACAATCTGTTTGACAGTTTCACTACCTATGACCAGGATCACGATGGGTGGACCTCTGGTAATTGTGCCGAGTGGTACTCAAGCGGCTGGTGGTACAACTTGTATGGCAACAGGTAGTTAAATCTCGTATAATGATTGCTTTAAATATTAATGCCATGTATCTTTGCAGCAATCTAAATGGTAAATACTTTTATGACGAAGTGAATAACGAGAAAAGCATTTGGTGGTATAATTGGAAGGGTTACCATGCATTGAAATCAGTCCAGATGATGATACGACCAAAATATACTTCCATTTAAGGTGGATTTTTTTGGTAAAACACGACGTTTATTAATATACGTACTTAATGCAAGCAACATACTAGTTTCCTTATGTCTTTAAGCGCTCCCTTTAGAGAACTCATTTTGCATGCATTAAAGATCAATAGGTGCTTGGCGCCACAGCAACTGCCAAAGCATCGTCAGCGTTGAACAACTTTGCATAATCCATAATTTCCCCATTGCCACTTGGTTTTTCAGTTTGGTGGCAGCTCTTACACACACACACACACTCAAGCACAAACTCTCGCCAGTAAAGCATCCTCTTCCCCTCACTTTAGCCATCTGTTCAAAGCCAAAATTCGCAGGAAATTGCGCAAATTTTGCGGCCAAATTGAAAAGTTCTTCAGCATTTGTCTTTTTTTTTTTTAGCCCCTTTTTGTAGTGTCTAGTTTAGTTTGGGCTGAGGGTCGCCGTCGTTGGCAGTACTTATTGTGGTTTATGTTTTATTCTACACTCAGCTTTTTGATCGCATCGCTGCCTGATTGCCACCATTTCGATACTTGGCTGAGCAAATTGAAACTTTTCCTCAATTTTTTGTATTGAACAAATGCATGCTGCAAATTTTGTGGTAACTTGCCCGTTGAATTTTTGTATTTTCGCATGCAAACAAAAAATTTTTAAACTATTTCGACTAAGTGTGCTCTGCCTTTTCACGCCTGTAATCCGCTTCAGTAGCAAATTGCTCAAAAGTGCAAAGTTGTTGAGTCAGGCAATAAATTTTCGAATTGGTTTAGGTTTACTCTTCGCTGCAGTAATTGGACCCCAAGTCACGCCTCGACTATATACTCGACACATGCGAATTTCTTTTTAGCAGCACAATCAAAATTGAAGCTATTTTATAAAGCAGCTTTAGCAAATGGATTGGGGCTTCTCCAGAAAACTCAAAGAAAATCAACAGCCAAATACTACTTGTTGCTGCTGCTATAATTGGCCTTTTAACTTTTTGATAGTTTTATAACAGAGAATTTTGTCGCCATTTAAGACATTTATATTCGAACAGAAAAGAGGAAAAATGTTGGCTAAAGGCACGGCTTGAGCATGCTCAACTAGAAGGTACCCTGCTCCAAAAGCATATCCAAGTAGCTTTACGAAAATATCAACATGTGTACACACATAAAGTAAACGACTTTTCTTCTAATATTGTGCAGTTAAAATATTTACAATAATAAAACGTTAGTCCACAAATTTATGATGTATGTAATAAAAATACACATCAAGCGCACAGTAAGTTTGCTTAATATTAAATCACTGATTTGCAAACTCTGTCGCTGTTCCGTTCTAACATGCTCTGTGCGAAATATCAATATACTCGAGTGTTTTCGACTCGTTGACAGGTCAACCTTAAATCGATCAGGACTGACGAAAGAGGATGGCGCCCAGTGAATGAACCTTTTGGTCAGTCGACTTCCGTAAACAAAGCCGACAACTGGTTGTATTCCTCTTCGTTATTGTGTTCTCTGTTATTTTGCTTCCTTCCATTTTCATGGCATTTTCGCATTCTCTGGCATAAACATGCTTAAAATATGTTGGTCATATAAATGGTTTAAGTCATGCTTTTGGGCAGCACCTAACAAAAGCGCCCTGCGAAGCTGGCCAGAACGATGTCCGGGAGTACGAAGTAAATTACTGACTGGCCAGTGGGCACGGCCAAATACGCCCACATTGTACTTGTACTGTGCCCGAGCAGTCATCAATTACGTGAAGTGCGTGAAACGCTCTACAAATTGCAGGCGTAAATTAGACGCGCCCAGACCTGCTGCCATATCTCAAGTACACTCAAAGTGGCCGTCAATGGAGTTGATTGAAAGAAATGGCAGAAAACATAAAAATTGCAGCTGATTAAAGGCAAAGTGCGTCGCTTAAAGCCATTTGGCCCACAAATGAAAGCCGAAAAGACAAACGGCTACCAAAATCTTGGCCTGAAATTTCAACGCATTGCGATAGCATCTTAATTACCCACACACGCACGCACAGACACCCACACATACACGAGAGGACATCAGCATGTCATTGACCCATTGGCACGGGGAACAAATTTGGTCAGCTCTTTAATATTCCGCAAGCCCATGCTGACACTTATTTTCAGTTTCTCTTTCGCTCAGTCTGTATCCTGTTTTAATACTGCTAAGGGTATACAACCCATCAATAAGTAGATATAATTAGCTTAGGCCTCTCCCTTTTTCTCTCTTCTTCAATAAAATATCAAATTAATTGCACAATAATTTTGCAATTTCATGTACGAGACCGCAGGCGTTAAATTAATTTAGTTTATGTCCCAGCTAGGGTATCATATAGTCTAACTGCTGCCATTTTTTTGTTTTGTATATTGAAGGTTTTTTTAAGGCGTCAAAGCGATAACAATTTCCTGTTTGCGTAAACTTTACGCTCTCACACTTGCTTGCTGGCCGACTAAAATTTCTACAGGCACGAGCAGAAGCCAGTTCAGGAGCAATCACCAAGCACCAAGAGAAGTGGAAAACATTAATTACATAGACCACACGCTCGTACACACAAATATGCAGACACACAAACATACACATACAAGCATACACGCACGCACAGTGTACAGAAGCTGCACACCTAGGCGTATACACAACAATGACAACAATTTGGGGCACATCGGTAGCCTACTTTGAGGGGGTGCCCTTTGGGCACCCAACACTTCAGCGCTCCTGTGTGTAATTTGAGTTTGTTTTGTTCTCCTCCTGTTTTGCCATTGTTTGTGTGGCCGTAGCTATTTATACTGGCCTACAAATGTGGCAGGCTCCATTTGGCTCTGTGTGCTTTTTATGCCTTTTGCTTTCTGGTCTTGAGCTCCTCGGCTGATGGGCATTTTATTTGCTGACCATAATTGTGTCGGGCCCGGAACCACAAAGATTTGTCATTTCGGGCGTGCAACTTGACGCAGACCCCATGGAATGTGGAACGTGTTTTCTTTGAGAGGTTTTTTATACAAAAAAATAAGAGTGTGTCAGACTAGCAGATACTCTGTGCCCAACTGCAAATACATGCTTATTTAGCTTAATTGGGATCTGGGACAAATTCTGTCTAGACGTACTTTGCATATTTATACATGCATTTGCTTTACGTGTCGAAAATAAGTATGTGAATGTTTCAACACTTCTGGAAAAAATGGTAATACCCTTTGCAAGGGTATAAAAGTACTGCCCACATCAGTTTCTGTTTTGGTACTTGTAATGAGCTTCAATTTCATGACATTTAAGTGGTTTCACTTGGTCAGGTTTTATTTTTGTTTTGTGCAGACAAATTATAGAAGTCTTTATAATGAAGCGCATTTGGGTGCTATAAATTATTTATCGATTGGCGATTCCGAGGAAACGCAAGTACTTTCTACATTTGTTATTGCCCAACTAGTTGGATTCTCGAATTTGCTTACATCTCGTTTTAGGCACGTTTTCGCATTTGATTTAAAAACTGTTGATTGAAATTTTTACATTTTATTTTCAGATTTATGAGCATGTTGCGTCACCGGGTTTTCGTGTTTTGGAAGTAAATTAAACAAGCTTAAATTAATTAAAACTTTTGCTACTCTGTGGGTGTGCGTGTGTGTGTTTGTTTGTTATAAAAGTAAACTTTTTCTTCGTGTTACAATTTGCGAAACTCATTTGAAATCCCAGCGAATAAGCCGTGAATCGCAGCTCAAAGTAGAGCTAAAAAGTTTCGTCAGCATTTGAAATTAAAATCGAAAACCAAATGGGACCTTAGCATGTGTATATCAAACAAAAAAAAAGGAATAGGCCCCAATCATTTCAACATCATGAGTAGCAAAAAACACCCCAAAACAGAAAATATGCAAAAATAAATAAAAATGCCAAAAGACGATATACACAAGCCGTAAGAGGAGCCAACACGCCAACAATAAACGAATGGGCCTTGGACAACAACACGGTATACGCTTTCCGACTCGGCCATTAGTCATTATTGACACATTCTCTCGCCTTTTTCTAAGCCAGTTCGCCAATCTGCCAATCTGCCAGTCTGTCAGTCACCCAGTTTGGGTAGCATTCTTTTTCTTTTTCTTGTCGATTTTGAGGGGATTTGCGCTGTCGTGTTGCTTCTAAGTGATATTTCCGCTTGACCTACCATAATGTTAACATTTTTGTTTGTCTTCGATATAACTTTATCGATATGTTTTCCATATGAACCGACCGAAGAAGCGCATGTTTTAGCGCAATTACTCAGTAGCTTATACTTTCTATTAGGTTGAGCTCAACACGCAATCGTTATTTATAATTTGCGAGTAAATTTTGTAAAAACAATTATTTTTGCATATTTTCTCCATTTTCTCAAAATTCTAGGGCATTTCCTAGTCTTTATTTCATGGAAAAAATAAAATAAAATATAACCAAAATTGTGGAAGAAATAGACGATATATCAGCCTTTTTTGTTTTTCTCTTGCTCTCAGGATTAAAGTTCAAAGATAAATGCTGTTAATTTGCTTAACAACAGATGAGATGATCTTATATCGTAGAAAATACAAGAAGTACGGGTCAAACATGAAAGTGTAGTTTTTATGTGAGCTTGTGATGTTTAATTTAAAGGTAATTAAGTGTGGAAATTATTGTTCGTCGTGCGATACAGAACTAAACACTCTCGTACACAATAATGTTATAAGTGTGATAATGTTAGCACAAAAACAAACGTTAACGACTGCAATTCAAACAGGACGTGCTTCAGTTTGTTCATAAACCAACAAATTAAAGTGGGTGAGTGAGAGAGATAAATAAATTCAACAAAATACCCTGTACACATGCTATAAATAATATATAGGACAATCTTTATGAAAACGGTTTATAACTTTTACTTAGAACACGCATAATTTGTAGAAGACAATAAGCATCTTTTTTTTTTATTGTATTAAAATTTTTGAGGGACTTCGAGAAAAATTAAAAAATTAATTTAAAAACAATAGTGCTCTAGTCAAGAGCACTTCGACGAACAGGCAGTCGGGCATGACTAGATATGTATTATGGGGTCGAAGATGCTTCCTTCTGCCTGTTACATATATTTGCACAACAAATTTGTACAAATTTTATCCACTATGTTTAGGGGATATTAGTATAAGAGTAATTAAATATTAAATTATATCGGTGCTTTTATATTTTTTTTCAATCTTCATATATCCGATCAAATAACAAGACATTTTGTTAGTATTAAAATTTAAATGAAATCCAGGTTTGCGAATGCAGCCCTTTCTAATATACACAAATATAGGGTAACAACATTTTGGTAAATAATTTAAAACGAAATAATTATTATCGACTTAATTAAATCAGCAATAGGCAAATAGATTTAAATTTCAACAATAGATTTGAATCTGGCGGAACAATGGCGCCAAGTACTAAGCAATTTTAATATCAAGTTACTTTTACTTCGGATCATTCAACTTTAATGCCCACTAAGTGCAGTTTACCATGAAACCGTCTCTTTAAATAACAAATTCCCAAATATGTAGTTACACAATTGTCCGTCCATTTAAATCGAGTGTAAATGTTTATTTAATCGTACAGACCAAAAGCGAACCAGCAACAAAGTTTATTGTGAACTCAATTAAAGCAACGCCTCGTTGGTTAGTTGGGTTGGTTTGTTGGTTGGTTGGCTGGTTTCCTGACTGGTTGGTTGGTTGGTTGGCTTTTTTTATTTGGCTGGGCTGTTCGGGGGGGTCGTTGCAGAACAAACACGAATGCCAAATATCAAAGCAAAAGGCAGTTCAGAAAAATGTGGCCGATTCCTGTTACAAAATCAACTAAAACAACGAATACAAAAGAAGCCGCTAAGTAAACACCAGCACAATAACAATAACAATGGCAACAGCAACAGCAACAGCAACAACAACAACAACAGCTCAAAGTAAATGTAAAGAAATGTGAGCAAGTTGCACAGTTGTTCAGTCTGTTGGCTTGTAAGTTGGCTGAGATACAAAACTGCAGCACCAAGACACACCGCTAACAGTAGCTGTGAGCCGACAACTGGGCGGTATGTTGGGCGCCACTGGGGCGTAACCTGGCAACTAAATAGAGGACAGCACAAAAGGCAGCTAAGCTGAAATCACAACGGAGGGCCTCACAATAGAGCCTCTTAGGATATCCATGGCTCACACACTTAGCATCAGGTTGGAGCCCAGGAATTGCGCCCTCGCTTAAATGAATAAAGAAAATATTTAGCATAATTAAATGTAACTTGAAATGCCAAAATAATAATTAAGGTGACAGCATAATGAGTTTCTCCACCCACAGGCAAGCGACCGTGTTTTTCTCAGCTGTCTTAGCCGACCTACTCGCCCAGGCCCCCACACTCACCCGCAGCAGGCAACGTCAAATGGAAATTGATTGAAGGCTGAGGCAAGAGCCAGCGGATGGAACGTGAAAGTAATTGAATACAAAAGCGTACTGCGGTTGAGGGCCAAGTGGCGGAAGGTGCTGAAGTGTTAAAAGCAAAATAACCTGAAGGAAATCAGCTGCAGTCTCTATATTAGCCCCTTAACACAAACCTGTATAGATATGAGGCTCAAATCAACTGCTCGGCTGAACTACTTGGCAGTTTCCTGAAGTTCAATCAACATGGTGCACGAAAACTCAATGCCTGCGGCTGACTTGTAGGCGCCAGCCAGATTGTTTGACTTTTTCAACTTGAAATTGGCTACAAAATGAATTGCAAGACCTTTGCCTGCGTCGGACACATTTGAAGTGTAAACTCGAGTATAAAATGGTTGTCCAGCCTAAAACAATGCCCCGTCATCAAATTCAAATATGACTTTGTATATCATAGCTAAACTGTCTAATATTTAATATATATAAATATTTCAAATATTGCAAAAACAACAGTACTTCACAAAACCCATAACCAATTCATAAACTTTAAAATTGAAGTTTTGTCGAATTGGCTTTACGGTTTTATTGCTTGCTTTTATTACAATTCATTACCTTTGCTTAACAATCAACTTTGTTTAACAATTCAATTAACAAAATGACTTATATTCGTTAGTATCCCTCTACTTTTATTTCTTTAGACCATTTGAATATATATTGGAGAAAAAATTTAAAAAAATATATATAAATGGCTATAACTCCTAAACTAAGCATTTAATCGGTATTTGGATGAGACTTCAAAAGTTTTGTGCGTTTTATATCGTACAAAAACAAAATCGCATATAGTGAAATAATTACATGATGATCGGGTTTCAATCAAGACTTTTTAAGTACAAAAAAAAAAAACTTATACGAACAGAAGAATATGAGATGATCAAATTTAAATATCCTATAAAGCAACTAGAAAAATAAAGCACGATGGACATTTATCGATAAATCGAAATGTTATACGAAACAAAATAAGCCATTATTTGGTAAATTTTTTTTTTGCATGATATAAAAACTATAAAAACCACTTACCTTAGCAATATTTATGCAGCCGCTTTTGACGCCAATGCGATGGGCGAGAAGTGTAGAGGCTTAAGGGTGTAAGGGAGTCGGCGCCAAGGAGCAGTTGAAGCACAGCTTGCAACTGAATGCTGCAATATATAAATTGAAAATTGAAATAAATAGTCGAGTGGAAAATAGATGCAAACCGAAATGTTTGAATGTTTGCTTGCAAGTAAACCAATTAAATTACGAACCAGACTGAGAGATTGCTTTGTGTGTTTCGACAAACCACAATTTGGCTTCAAACTGTTGTGCAAAAACATTTACGAAATTTTCCATTTGTATGCAATGTGAGAAAACTAATGCCATGCGATGCTCCTGGAAGGATTTGTATGCATTTGTCAGCAGTAGATACGTTTTGAACTACTGTCAGGAGAAAAAGATATTCAGAACGCACAGTAACACACACACATACTATGATTTAAGAGTTCCATTCAAAAGCCCCAACAGTTGCCAGACAAGCCAATTTTTGTGGTCTCGGCTTTGAAACTTTGACATGGTCGCTGGGCACTCTCGACCCTTGAGGGCTTGCAAATTTAACTCATTAAATTTAAAGAGGCTTACGAAAAAGTTTCCTCGTTTCGACAATCCGAAGCACGTTTTATGACAGGTGGGCTAGGGCATCTATTCAACTGGCGAATGTTGAATGGAAATTGCAATAAAATGGCGCCCGAAAGTATGCCGCAACCTTTTTTTTTTGCAGCTTATGCTAATTCATAAATTAGCTGCTAGCAGGACAATTAAAAAAGTTGCCTACTAAAATTAGGCATTACATTTTATTGTTGCTCAACTTTTAAATGGCTTGTGATATATGTCGTATGGCAACCGACAAAATGCTGAAAGGCAAACTAAGCCAAAGGCAGAGATACATATCGGAATGTTTTTTTCTTTGGTTCATTAACAGCTAAGCTTTATGCCTGATGCCAAATGATATGACTGGAAGGGCTGACATGTAGACAAGTTTCCATCTGGGAGACACTTTTACACAACCAGTTTTGCAATCCTTCCCTACGACTTTAGATGTGAGGATAATAATACTGATTATTCTACAGGGCATTACATTCATTGCTCTCATTACTGTTCGGCCCTCAACTGTTGTCCATACGATGCCTCTGACAGCTCACGGACTTACGTGGCGTGCGCCATAATTACCCAGAAGAACAGTTAATGACTGACTGCCAAAGGATTTGCTCCTAACCAGAAACTGTTAAGGGGGCAACATTAAGTATACGTTTATTGTGTGCGTGTGTGTGCGGTTTGGCTTTTCTTTAGAAATATACTCTGTATGCATGATAAAGTTGTGCGAATGCTGGCCAAAGGCAGCTGAAAATACCCTAATACTATTGGGCAGATCGCAGTATTAGATAAAGCTACAAACGGGTTTTAAACCAAACCGGGTCGAATTCAAACTGAACCGAATCTCAAAACGAATCAATTGATTAAAGAATTAATGAATTGAATAATATATACATTTCCTCGTTTAAAATACAAAAACTCTCCAACAGAAGAGCACAAATCCGGCTTAAAGCATTAGAAAGAAAGTCAGGTTTACTAGCCGTATTTTAAGGCAGAATATTGTGGAGCTATCAAATTTACATATTTGGCCAAAAATTAACACTTAACTAAAATTTACATTTAATCTTCTGGCGAAATGTGCACTGCGGCATTTTGTTAAATATTAGATTTGCCATTTGGTAGACAGCTTTTGGGCGCTGCCACTTGAAATTCAATTAATTACGGCACCTGGGCGAAACCTGACGCTTTATTTTGGCACGTGATAAATTAATTTAAGCCAAAAACGTTTCGTGTAACGTTTGCATATTGCGCGACTGGTCAGGTGCCTGCGGTGTAAGGATAGGCGACATAGGCGTGCCCGTTACAGTAGTAACAAGTTTACAATGCCACACAGAGTGAAAGAGAGATGAGGAGGGTTAGGGGGAGCACGGCGGCTAATTGAGTTGTGCTCAACCGTATATAATACCAACATTTTATTTGGCAATGAAGTTTCGCACTGTTTGCCATTGCACGCAATTTCATGTCGCCCCTAATTACTAGAATATTTGAATGCCATGCAAACACTGGGCCCAAATCAATTGGGAGCACTTTAGCTGACCTCTAACCCTGACTACTGAGACAATCCCAGTTGCTGGCGCCTGAACCCGGCTCAAGGCCCCATTCGCACTCTTGACAGCTCAATTTACTTGCCCCCCACTAATTAAAACGCAGCACTGACTGCGCCTTAATCAGCGTATTAATCTCAGTTTAGGGCACAGACCGTACCGAGACACAAAGCAGAAGGCCTGGCCTTGAGCTCTGCTGTTTTGAATGCCTCACTTTTGAAATCATTTGCCCATTGTTGCTTCTTAGCTATTGTTGTTGTGGTGTTATAAGCTATCAGCAATGATATATGTATATAACGCTATCCGTTACGCTTTAGAGTATAGATAAGGTCAATATGGTCTATACGTCTAGCTACTTATTCCTTTTAAACTTTCTTCAAGAAACTGAAATTGCGACAAGACCAGAATAAAATGTAAAATCGAAACTATTTTCAATGTTTCTTTAGTAAATCCGATAGGGTATAAATTCTTCGGCTGTGCATTTGTAGCCGTGGCAACTTATTTTACGTATTTTATTTTTGTTTTTGACATAAAACAAATTCTCGGGCATTTGTTTATTGTTGTGGATTTTTCGGCGCTTTTGTCTAATATTCCACTTGACACGAAATATTATTAATTGGTCTAGACAAGAACAAGGCAGGCATGAAATTCAAAGCCAAGTTATTAAATATCTAGCAGGCAGATACCTAAAACTAAATTCTGACATGAGCCAAAGACAAAGCAAAGGGATACAATGGGCATATCTATTCGATTAAGCACGCACTTGATAAATGTACGTTAAGGATAGCTTTTAAAGATACTCTGCATATCATTTGATATACTCATAAAGTTAACAGAGTTTACAGTCAGAGTCAAGTGCTTAATAAACGAGGCCAACAACTTCTTCATGTAGGCCAAGCAACTTGTCTGTTCTCTGACTCTCACTGAGACTTTACGGCACTTTAAACAAGTTTGATGAGCTTCAGCTCTGTCAGGAGCTACACAGCTATCGAGTTGCTTGTCAGGACTGTAGACTGCAGATTGCAGTCACTTTTACTGCAGTTACCCGCACCCCTGACTGACACGTGGAATAATGAGTACGTCTAACACTCTTTCTACAACTTTTATTGCTTATCAATATATCTGGACTCGGAAGTTTTAATTTAAGCTTTGATATATTATTTTTATCAATATCGCACTATTATTTTATATAGCGCTAAATAAAGAATTGGTACACAAGAATAATGTGGCTGGTTCTGGTTTTAAGATTTTTTGTGCTTTTATTAAAACCAATGTATATTCTCTTAAAGTATAGAAAATAATTTCAAACAAAACCTTAAGATGTTAAATAATCAGCGTAAGACATCGTCTCATTGGAAAACTTTAAAATGTTATAAGCAAAAGTTTCGTCTAAGGAAAAGGCTCTTCATTATGAAGCATTCGGAAAATCCCCATACGATTTTCATTTTCCACTACATATTACAATTTAAATTCTGGTATCTCTTGTGTAAGCGCAACTTCGCTAGTTCAGCCATTTGTTAATTAATTACAAGCCGCTGCATTTTGGCTCAAGTTTTTATATGACTTATTAACATTGCAGCAGCCGCAATATTTGCACTGCAGCCCGAAGTGCTGGCACATATGCAGTAACCATTATGCAGACAACTTTCAGGGTGTTTGCACTAGTGCATACTGTACTTGTCCCTGAATTTGCAATGCGGGTGGCGACAAGAAAAGAAAAGAGGGCTTAACAGTTGACTTTACCAACTACCGCAGCATAATGAATATTATGGTGCTTCGAAATTGTGTCTACATTTTTAATAAAGCACTCATAATGCTGTTGGGGCACTTTGCTGTAGCTAAGTTTATTTCTATAAAAAGAAGTCGCATATGCTGCCGATGCAAAAGTGTACACAATTAAGTTGTCAATTGTAACGTAATTGATTGAATTTAGTGCTACACTTGCTGCACATCATTCGATACCCAATTAAATGCAATTTGAACAACTTGAGTATCGGCAGCCTTGCAAAATCCTTTGCACGGACACCGACTGTTCCGAGTCCCAGCAGTCGACTGCTGCAAGCCAATCCAATGAATATTCATATACCTCCGAATGCTGCCATGTCCTAACGAACCCGCCCACATTGTCGTCATAGAACACTGTATATTACGCTATACCTTATCGTCATTCCCACCCTCGGGGCTGTGTCATCCCGTTGCCATTGTCGTTCCTATCTGCGCAGAGTTTCACGCACACATGAGCACACAAATGATCACAGTCATCGGCAGTCAATGCAAACAAAGCGAGCAGCGAGGCATCCACAAAATACATCCTTAAATCTACATCAACATACTTAGATGAATACGCACATAGACATTTGTACATAAATGTATAATGCATGTCACAGCAGGAGTTTTCGGTTTGTTGTACGAAAATATTGCTCATGTTTATCGTTAATCACCAGAAAAACAAAAGTATTTTCAACCAAGGGCATATCGGTTTAGAATCGCTTCGTTTCGCATCCCACATTTTTCTATAAGCCAACCCGGACAAGCAAATACTGAATTATTTAATAAAATTCTTAAAAGTATGTTATATTAAAATTTATGAACTGCGTCCAGGGTTCGAATCAGTTCTTGTTCGCTTTGTTTTTGTTTTGCAGCCCTGATCTTAACGAATTTTAATCAATATTCCCACATTCGCTCGTAATGTGCAACATCATGAAATGTTTCCTTCCTTAAGCATGCTTTTATCATGCTTTGTTGAATACAGGGCTCACATTGATTCTATATACATATGTATCTCGTCTAACAATTTTTAATATGTCGCGATGGCGTTGTATTCTACCCCCTTCGCACCTGACTACATTTGTTAGTGATAGTTTTTGAGCATGTAAATATTATCAAGTGTCTTTGGCAGCTTTTCGCCTGTCGCCCCCAACATACCCACACACACACATATACACACATACATCGCAGCCGAATGATAAATGGATTTTACGCTTCTGCGCGCATCTTCCCATTTGAGTTACACAGATACTCGTTTAACTTTAGCTTCTGGTAGATGCTTGTCGAAAAGTATCTACAGCTCAGCTGTCTGACTGTCGCGCTCATTTTCAAAACTTTCACGCATCAAACTCGTGCAAGCCCAAGAAATTGATTATATGAGACACATTTTAGATTCAACTACACACTGAGTATGCATTCTTCTACTGCTTTGATCACGCTAAAAGAGTGATAGTTAAGCGTGGAGTGCTATTATAGTATAGATTATTTTTCGTAATTGTTATCATTTTCGACAAATGATTTTTATGAATATAATATAACTTTAATTGAGTTTCAGATTAAGCAATTATATAAAGGTTACACGCGTATTTACATATGATTAAATTAATTTAAAATAAATCATATTTGCTTTGCCGCACACATATATTGAAATGAATTAACGGTAAACTGAATAGTTAGCAAAGCGTGAACCAATTAATTTACTCAAATGCACAGCCAACAAAAATAATGTATATTTAATGCAAATATTTGAATTTTTGCACAAATTTGTAAAACTTTTTTAAGCTCGCTAAATCTTTAAATCAGACTAACTATGTGAAAGATATTAGTGAATGTGTGTGTGTGCGCGTCTGTGCAAGCATAAAATGTATCTATGAGATTTTCAACAAGGCCTAACACGATACTGCCATTAACATGATTGAGCCACAAAAACCAAAAATCCACAATCCACTGGAAATTTCCCAAGTAAACGGATTAAATTTCTGTTTTTCGGCAAATAAAAATCAAATACCACCATGCGATACCCTTTCAAAGCACAAAATGTCGATTCATTTGTAAAAGTTAGCTATTGAAAAGCTTCATAGCAAAATTTTATATAAGTTTAAATTCAAGTATAAGCCATATGCTAAATGGAAATGGAATTCAATTGCAAGTAGCGTGGGCTATGAGCTAGCTGGTGGACTTCTTCGTAAATAGCGTATAATTATAAAGTCTTGAGAGAGTATCGTAATCAATTTAAGCATTGCAAATATAAACAAAGTTCTCAGTTGGCCTGATAAAGTCGGGATGTTTGATTTGTGCTGACAACGCGCCAAGGCAAGGGGCGTGCCGCAGGATGTACGTGCGTGTGTGTTGGGTGTATGAGTGTGTGTGTGTGCGCGTGTGTCTGAGAGTTTGTGCCAACTTTGGCAATTCAACTGCCAAGCTTTTCTCACAAGAAAAGTACGTCAGGTTGACGCGTGTCTGACTGACAAATATTTGCATGCAAAAAATTTGCGCTCAGCAGAAAAATATGTTTTCAGGCTTAACGCAGAAAAATGCTGTAAATTATGCTGATAAGTTGAGGCAGCGGCAGGAGTTGAATGAATAAAGGGCAACTTGTGCTGATGTTGAGTGCCGGCAATCAACGCCACATATAACCACACACTTCTACAAGGTACAACGAACAAATTATTGAAATTTTATTCCTCAGCACATTTCACTTAATCAGTTATGCATAAATTTGCACGCACTCAAATGCCGTCTAATTGGGCGCGCTTTGAAAAGGGTTCGCTGAGCTTAAGATAATTAATTCACATGGAATGCTGGCAGGGTCAGGTCAGAAATGTTAGCTTAAATGCACTTCAATTGTTAAGCCCACACGCATATTGTGCGGTCAAGTTAGAAATAATTACGCATACGCTATGCATGCCCAGCAGCTGCATACGGCTGGGATGACACTTCAATTGATAGATGAATGTTTTGCCAGCTCCCTAAACATGCCAACTGATAGCTGTGGCAACGGCAATAACAACAACAACAACAACAAGGACAACAACATTATTATTAGCTACGTTTGTGCAGGCAGCCAGTCAGCTGCATGTCGCTATCATTATGGCCATCACTGACAACACAGTGATAAACTGCAAGATAGCAAAACATCATGAAGTCAATTATGTAATGATGTCGCACGTCGCAGTCGGCAGACGTCAGAGCGTCGGCGTCAGCGGCGCGCCGGTAGTTAACGTCGCCTTCGTCAATGCTCTCGCTTGACATGCTCGTTACAATTTATGTTTTGTTTGTATTGGCGGGTCGCTTGGTTATTGCACATGGCAGAAGCATGGTTCAGTGCGAGAAAGTAATAGGGCGCGGCGGGGCCGGGCCGAGCGAAGGGGAAGTGTTTGTGGTCACAGCAATTTGGCGCACTTGTTGTGCCAGCTGCATGGAGCATAGCTGAGCCCGAATAACTGTCAAAATAATTGTCGATGGTCGAATAGCTTTGACGCTCCATAAACCAGAGCTCTTTGGCATTGAATGGGTTGTGCATGACAAACAATACAATGACAGCTATGAGAGATGTTAATTGTAATACAACCTTAAGCTCTTAACTTGACATCTTTGAATTATTTCTAATTAAGACACAATGCTTCATAATTAAAGCACATTTATGGCGCATTTGTATATTATTAATCTATAAATAGCAAATTAATTGCAAAAAAGAAACACAAACACAAAAAATTTAACGGGCAATTCGTTTGGCAAAATAAAGCCAAATGTCCATAAATTATAATTGAAAAAGAATTGGAAAGTAAAAAAGGCCAAACGCTGGCCATTAAAATTAATAGAACAAATTGCAACTTTTCCGTTCGCCATGGAAATAAATAATTGAGCAGAGATTCGCTTTTAGCAAATTATGTATTTTGTAATACGTTAGAGAGCTGTAAGCACATATATTTAACAGTCATATTAGCTGTCAGTAAATGCGCAATACAGAATATAAAAGACTTGGTTATCTGATCTTTTGCGGAATTCAGACTGAATATTATTATGTGCATTTTAAAGCATTCCACTCTGAATGAAAAATAAAATTACCTTTTTTCTATACAGAGTGCCCGTTTTTATATTTATAATATTTATTAATTTTCATCTGCGCAACTCATGAAAATATTATATTTCAATATTATGTTCATATAATACCCTATTATTTGGCAATTTGATTTATGCCTTGTACGGTTCATGACAATCATTGTTTTTGTAAATTAAACGCAAAAAGTTATTAGAATTTATTGGTTTTGTTTACGATTTAAAGTGTATTAGATAATTTACGATACAATACATATTTAATAGAATTTGCCGAGCTTTGCAAAAAGTTTTCAAAGCGCACATCTTAGCTATAATGCCCCATATTTGTGCCCAATATCGCAGATAACGAGCGGGGCTTACACCTTAATTAACAAAATCTTTCAAAGCTCAGTTGAGTTTTGAGTAGTCTTTGAGAAGGTTGTGCACAATCAGCACAACAAAATAAAACATTTATTTATACGTATTTTTGAAAAAAAAAAATGAATATATTTATTGCGTTGATCTTTTTGCTGGGTGCTGCGCGAACTGGCTGCGGAGCGAGCTTAAACTTGAATCAATCGCTGCCCGAGGTGCATAATAGTAGATTCTATTACTTTGCCTTTGGAAGCAATATGTTGGCGCAACGCATTCACATTCAAAACCCCACTGCTGAAATCGTGGGTCCCGTTACGCTTGAAAATTACCGCTTGGATTTTGCAACGCTGCCCTTTGACAGGTGGGACGGGGCTGTGGCTACCATTGTGCCGACGGAGGGTTCTATTCTCTGGGGCACGCTTTGGGAAATAGATGTGATTAACTTGGCGGACATAGACAAGTAAGCGAGCAAGAAACACAGCTGAAAATTGTATTGAATGCATTTTTCTATTACGTATTCTCTACAGCCAGGAAGGTGTTCACCTGCAACTTTACAGACCCATCACCGTGCATGTTAAGCTGCACGGCAATGACACGGACACTGAGATTCCCGCGAGGGCTTATGTACTAGTGCATCAGCCTGAGAACAATGTGCATGCCTTTGCGCCAAATATGGTGCCCGAGGATCGACAGCCCTCTAAAACGTATCTACAGGTACTTGTCAAAGGTGCCATTGAAAGCGGTATTCCGGAGAGTTATATCAAATTTTTGAGAAGCATTAAACACAATAGAAAAACGGTTAAAAAGCTGGAGCAGGCTCTTCAGGTACAATCCGTGGACTTGTAAATAAAAAATGCCAACTCAACGTAAAGATCTAAAACGAATGGCAAAGGGTGTTAAGTATTTTATAATGGGTTGTCGTCTGTTCTACTTTTTACTTTAACTGTTCTTTAAAATTAGCCGAGTTTCAAGCCAACGATTGAAAATTACTTATTGTGTTGTGGACAATGAAGAATGGCAACGCAACTTTTCGAAAGCAACTGTTCCCAATTCGTAGTCGATTTTCAAACCCCCAATAGCTAAAGCTTAGTTTTCACGTAGCAGATTTTCAAACCTACAAAATCTAAAGCTTAGGCTTCTACGTAAATGAACAGCTGTTAATTTTATATAATAAGATTAAGTAACATAGACAGAATATAATTCATCGAAATTTAGTTTGCCATCTAAGATTTTTCTTAACGGTCTTTATTTATATAAATTAGTTGTATTTTGTCTGAGTTAATTATTGAAAAAACAACTTGAAAAATATATATATATTACATTTTGGTACAGTTGTTTTGTTGTGCAGTGCTAAAAACTATGGCGGTGGTTTTGCTCTCTTATTGTCAAACTCAGTAGCATGCTGTCAGCTGTGCCAGCTACGACGTGTAAACAAAGATTACAATTTCTAAAGTGACGTGTATAGTTTATATGTAACTATTAATAAAAACTCAAAACGTATCTGAAAAATACGCATTCTATTGATATTTACAACAAAATATCGAGCAGCACGTAAGTTTTATTTAAAATGCAATAACACATTTAGCGCTCGTAAATGTCAGCTGTTTGTTTAACATTCAATTTAAAAGCTCTGACGTGGAAAAAGCTTTCCGCAAATTGCAGTTGTAAATTCTGAATTTAATTTAGATGAAATTGAAGTCTATAACAATATATTGCTAAACTTTAATAGTAAATTACATTTTTTAAACGGCCTTTTTTCTTTTCTTTAAGAATAAATATTTGTATGCCTTTAAATGTATTTATTAATTGTTCAACAATCCACATTTAGCCAAGAACACACCCCGAAAGCTGCTTGAATTTACACTGCTTGCGAGCAGTTCAATTGTGTTCACCAGCGACTGCAAAACCATATTTTCCAACGGCTCTGAAACCTTTTAGAGGGTATCAAATTGTATAATGCTATTTGTAATGCATAAGAAGACAACTCCGAGCCTATAGGGTATACATATTCTTGAACCGTATTGCCTGTCTGTTTCTATGCGAGCTATTTTTATCTAATATACTGTACGGCTCTTATAAGCGGGATTGATCGCAAAAAAGAACGTTATTGTTCTACATATTCTATTTATTCACAACAATCCATATTTTATATGATTGATTCAGAGTTGATAACATTTTTTGACATACACATAATTGACACATTCGAAACTCTTTATAGATACACGCACACAAATCTCGACTTCAGCTAGCTTTTGCGTTGGCAACGCTCAGCCGGCAAATGGCCAATAAATTCTATTATTTTGGCTTTGGCAGCAACATGCTGGCCCGTCGCATCCACATACAGAACCCGACGGCGCGGCGCATCGGAGCCGGCAAACTGGAGGTGAGAGTACATGGAAATTTATTCGATTAATAATGAATAATCATATCGAACTCGTAGAACTATCGCCTGGACTTTCATGGCGTCGGTTCCAACAGCTGGCTTGGAGCGCCCGCAACGATTGTGCCCACGCCCGGCGCTCAGGTATTTGGCGCAATTTGGGAGATTGATATGTGCAACCTGAAGGATTTGGATGAGTACGCGCTAAACACAAGGTCAATCTTTGTACGATACTAAAACTTAACTATTTCCCATACACCATAGTCAGGAGGGAGTTTCTGCTGGCATCTATATACCCATCAGTGTGCCCGTTCACTCGCTGAGCGACAAAGAGGAAGTCATGTGTCGCGCCTACCACCTAAGCAAACAGCCAGAGACAATAGTTCACGAACAGTCTGCCGTTGATGTACCCCACAATCGCCAACCCTCTCACACATATCTCAAGGTGTTGGTCAAGGGCGCCGAAGAGACGGGCATACCCGCCGACTATGTCAAGTGGCTACGCGGGCTGCAGCACAACGGGAACAATGTGGAGGCTATGGAATTAAAATTGGAGCTATCCAAAGTAGAACTCAGCTAATATTGACCATTTCGTCAGATATTAGTGTATGTTGCCTAATTATGAGATAGTGGGTGTATTCTTGAATATAAATTTAAAGAGTAAAAATTTGTTTTATTGTCTACATTTATTAACGTGTATTGTGAAATTTCGAAAATGTGCACAAAATTATAAGCCTATCTTGTTTAAGCTTGGCCCAGATGCTCATTTTTTATGTGGAACTAGATGTTGGTTAGGAACAGCTTGTTATGTTGAAAATGGCAGTGTACGCTCAAGAAACGTGTACTTTATTATACATATATATATATGTAGATATAAGACAAGAGTGGTCTAGTCGGGATTGCCCGACTAAGAGATACCCTGAACCTTGGTATAGTTATAAAATGAAAGGATTCATTTCAGACAAAGTAATATCTTGACAAAACTTACAATTGGGTGAAAGACTAGATTACGGTTACGAACAGCTTTCTTTACCGAACATATGCCATTCGATAATTGAGATATATTTTCTGATCTATTTTTAAGCACTTATTTTTCTCAAGGGCAATCTCTAGAAAAGCAAAAACTTTGTCAAAAAAAAAAACACAAACAAAAAAGAATGAATTTAATTAATTTTAATCACTTATTTATGATGATTACCAATTTCCTGTCTCACAGCACTGTCTTTCACAACTGAAAACTTGCCCGGGGACACGGACAGAAAAGTTTTTAGCTTTTTGGCTGGCGCTCCTAAAGTGCAATTAAAGTGCAATTTAGTGTGAGCCAAAGACGATGATGCTCCAAACAGTTTCTGTTTCTATGTTCATGAACTTGGCCAAAAGTGTAGCAAACTCCAGACGGCCAGACGCTTAACGAGGCTCATCGAGGCGCCGCGTCATGTAGTTTGTGCATTGTGGACCTTGGCTTATTAATTTAAATTTCAAGTTCTGCGCTGCATAGTTCCGACTGCAACAGCAGCTCGAGAGGGAAATGGAAGCTTAGCAGCCCAAGAGCTCAGCCCAAATTGCGTGCCAAAGTAATAATAAACATAATTTGGTGTGCACACTGTGCAGCTAATTTGGTACTGGGGGCAGCTCCATGCAGATGGGTCAGCCCACGATTACAACGGTTACAACCTGCAACAGCAACAATAACAACAACAACAACACGGGCAGCTTTAGGTTCTGAACTCTGAGGTGTCCAAGTGCAAAAGTTCGAGCACAATTCCGAGCTGGTGTTTAACAAAGTAAAAAGTTTGGCCAAAGTGCTGCAGGATGCCTTTGTGGCACTTGTTAGCTTGTTGTGTTGTTATATGCCCTGTAATTTGCTTGTAATACAGGGTATATTCGCACTGAGAGAAGCTATGGTGCGCAAAAAACTGTCTAGTCTATCAACTTGAAGATTGGCATTTATAATCCTATGCTTTATATATGCAATATCTTACTAACAACGGAGCACAATGTCAATTAGCTGCCACAGGAACGATTTGTCGACGGTCAAGTACTTTACTTTAGTTTCCATATGCTCCCAATATATGTTCAAAACTTATCAATATCAGTTCACTTTATCATATAGCTGCCATTGGAACGATTGGTGGAAATATAGGTTCTTGTATGGAAAACTTTATTGTTTATCAAGATACCTTTTCCAAAAAAAACATTTGTGAATTAGATAATGCACATTATACATGTATCAAATCTTGTCTACTATATCATATAGTTCTATAGGAAACATTGACTAAGAATTGGACTTTGTATAGCAACATTTTCAGTTTTTCAAGCTATCTCCATCAAACTCTGCCATCTCCAGCTCTACTTTAGCCCTCACATATCTGCAAAACTGCAAGCACAAAAGTGCATTCTTCGATAGCCGTCCTTTTCAGTTCAACTTAATAATTGTTAACAATATTAATATTTAATATTTGTTTATACTATCAAACTTTTCCCAGAGCATGCAATAGTCGCTCATTTGTGCATGCTGCTTAGTTCTTGCTGTTGTTGTTGTTGCGGTTTTTCTTTTGTGTAAGTTGTAAATTAAATTTGCAAACGGTCTGGCAACTCTCGCCCTATAGTTTATAATCGTTTGGGAATTGAAATGCAGTCGATTCGAGAACGTCTGCAAGTTTCTGGCATTTTTTATTTGACTGGCCAGGCAACTTTTTAGCTCGGCATTTTTATTAAATTTGGTGGCGCCCTCTAGAGTTGGTAGCCGCAACTGGAATTGTGGCACGGGCGCTGCGACCACTCTACACTCTAACATTAATTATTTAAACTGCACGGCACCATAACCATTTAGATGGGCGCTTTGTAACATGTGGCAGCACTTCACACATACACACACACACACACACACAAAGTGGCAACGCTTGTAATCATAAAAGTTTACGAGTTAAAAAACCAAATCAAAACGACAAGTGACGAGTTCGAAGCCACGTTGACACTGGCCTCAGCTGCAGCAGGCCCATTTTGTGGGCACGGGAATTTAATTAAAATCAAGCCCGAATCCCCAACCCTGCCGGCCACCCACCCATGCACCGAGGCGTTCCACTAAACGGATACGTTCTCAGGGCATCGTTTAGTTTCAATCAAAGTGGCGGCGAAAAATTTACGCAAATTGACAACAGAAGCGACTGGAAACGTCGTCGTCGCCCATCAATAAAAAATGCTTAGAAGTGCCTACCCTGGTACTTCGTACCGCTCGCCGTCGCACAGTTCAGACCGTAATTGAAACTCATTAGCGTGCATTTTAGTGGCCATTTTGGCGCAAGCCTTTGGCCAACCCTTTGGGTACCATTTCCCCAACTGTTTCCAGCACGTAGTTTGTTGTGGGTTGTCCGTGGTTGTTGTGTGTTTGTGCGCGTGTGTGTTTGTGTGTGTGGTTTATGTGGTAAGTGTGTCATCATTATGAATGTTATGGTTTTTTTCTACTCTATTTTTTTTTTGGACGGGTTTTGCCAAGCTTTTATGGACGTGAAAAAAACGTTGTGCACAAAGTAACAATTTTCGTATGTGAATGTCGAAACAAAGCCACAAAAGGGGGTTGAAATGTTAAAACAAAAAACAAATCGAGAAAGTACATATAGCCGAAGATTTAATACGCTTGTATTTAATATGTGAGAATTGTGATGCTTGCAAATGCTAAGTTTGATAACCATATCTTGAAAAACAGAAAAGCTCGGCATGCAAAAACTGCATAATATAGTAGTAGGATTTTTACACGATTTGGCTAATATGTAAACAGCATAGTTTAAATAGTAAATGCTGGAATGGGTCAAGGTATCTTGATAAACAAAGAAGTTTTCCATACAAGAACCTACTTTTTGAATTCCTTTGGCAGCTATATGATATAGTGGTCCGATCCGGCCGGTTCCGACATACATATATACTGCCTGCAATAGATAGAGGGTAC